TGATAAATTACAAGTGATATTAATCATAAGTAAAGGTTATGAAATAAGGATAACATTAAATCTACATAATATCTGTGAAATAACATAGAAAACACACAGCTGCACATAGTACAGGAGCACAGCAAGAACATACAGCAAAGTATATAAAAAATATAATACAGAAACAACCTCAAAGAGGCAATAGAAACATAAAGCAATGGAGAAGAGGAATACTCTGACCTGTCTGCTTGATGGAGCAGCAAAGAAAGAGGAAGTGATGAGGTCACATTGCCTTATGTACATCCTGCTCTCCTGTGATTGGTTTTTTTCTATGTGTTTCATTACTGCTGTATGGAGTTAGTAAAGAGAGATATGCAAAATACGAAGCCTCCTGTCATGTGGTAAAATTCCTATCGTGAGGGTTCACGGGAGCTAAATTAATTGTATTATTTTATGTCATTTATGATTAAAAAACAAATCACTGATTAATATAGATTATATACCTATATAGTTTGTTTTACAGTATTCACACATTAACTGAAATGATTTCTGCATTGCTGCTGCTGCTGCTGCTAATCTTTCCGAATACATGGACGTATAACAGTAAACAACCACATACTGTGCAGCCAGGCACTCGATCTCACTGCAAAATACAGATATATACAACAGAACAGTGGGACTAAGTGTGGTAGCAAAAATGCCACAAACCACCTGAGTGGGAACCCCTCACACCACTCAAAGAAATACAGGCAAATACATACAATGTTGTTCACACTTCTGAATATTTCTGAAAGAAATATGTACAGAACACAATATAGTGTAATAAAGTCTATACTGATAAATAGTAGAGAATTTGAGCCAAATATCATATGGCTCTCATGGATGTCGCCTTGGGACTATTTCAAGGATGTCCCCCTCCTGTTACCACATGGCTGGATAGCTGTTCCAGCTGAACTTGAATAAGCTCCAAAAATCCAATATGTGATGGTTAAAACATGTATTTATTACTCCACAAGATGTATAAAAATATAATAAAAAACAGTATAAAAATATCTTAAAAATTAAATAAACTGAGATCTATAGCTATAGTGCTATAGGAATGAGTCCTGCCAATTGGCCTTTAAAAAGTCCGAAACGCGTTTTGCCCCTCCAGTGGCTTTTTCAATCGGTATATTATTTCTTTTACAGTTCGGCGTCCTTATATCTGGATTTGCCTGTTCACTTCCGGTTTACTTCCAGGTTCCAGCTACTTCTAATTTGGAACGCATTGTGCGTTCCAAATTACTTCCGGGTTCCGGCGGTCTTATATTTGGAACGCAACATGCGTTCCACCTCTTCACAGAGCTGTGTTCCATCCTGGGCTTCCCATACCTCCACTGACGTCACTGGAATGCACACTAGAATAGTTGTGCGTTCCATTGCGAATCCGTCAAGATCTGTAGAGCTCATTGTAAATTACAAACATGTACATCTATCATTAGTAACTTCCATAGCCATTAAACAAATTCCATCATATGAATCAGTACATGTATTTTCATGCTCTCATTCTGTTTCGTCAATTAGTTGTTTCTATACATATATATGATTAACTAATAGCTTCCTTCTATTAATCCAATTAGTGTTCTTTATAGTGGCATGCAGGTATATATAAACATTAGGTGATGATTCTAATTTTTTTTCCCTTTTTTTTTATATTATATTGAAATTATTTTCATATAGACTATTCATCTAATCTATAGAAAAAAATATTTAAGAGTTTTATATTCAATAAGACTTCTCATAATATTAATCTTATATTCCAAATTAGATGAAATCACCATACTAGCGTTCATTTAAAAGGATAGTATCCCCAAACCCTTATAGTGCAAAAAAATATATTCAAGGCTTACTATATGATATCAAGAACAATAAAAGCTGTAGATAAGTTAGTAATGTTGGTAAAAAATAACTACAAACCTATATTTAAAAGAAATGACTGACCTCAAAATCCGAATTTAACCCATGAGGTATAAGAGTATTAAAATTATATATGAATTTCATTTCTTCTATTCCTATTTTCTTATTAAAATCTCCTCCCCTCCAGTCTTTTTTTACAAGTTTTAACGGACAAAAGAATACGTTTTCTGGGTTTTGGTTATGATGTACCTTAAAGTGGTTCGA